GCGACAAAAATGTTAAATGCTGTCCAAACTGCAACGCCATATGCAGTTGTCCCTCAAGATCTCATTCTGCCGCCTTTTTCTGCGCGAGCTCGTAAAACCGCTTGCAGCGCCAAAAAAATCCGATACGAATGAACCATACCATCCATCACCCGTCCGAAACCAACAGTCCGCTACTCACCGCCAATCCTTGTTGGGAGAACGGCCCCATACCACCAGTAGAAAACAGCATGCTTGTGATGCCATTTTGACACAAATTGATGCCATCACAGCCACTCTTGATGCCATCCCAATCACTGTAATGGCATCATTTTGTGTCAAAATGGCATCGCAGTTGGCATCGCAAACATGCCGTTTTCTACCAGTGTACGGTGTGCTACACGAGCAAGCGCATGCTGCGCATCCAAGGCTACGATTTCATGTCTTCGCTCGGTCGCAGTGGCTTCTCAATTCGGTCTGTAAAATGTGCAGGGGTGCTTCTCTCATCCAAGGGGTAGCACGGCAAGCAACACAGATCCCGGTGATGTCGAGTACCCATCTCCCGGGGCTGTCAGGATTCCCAGCGGCGGAGCGCAGGCATTCAATTTGGCGCTTCCGGGCATCCAAGACGACAAATCTCAGTGTTCTATATTGAACACAGCTCCAATAGATCCCCCAGGGCGTGAGGTCCGTATAGAAACTGCGCTGTGCATCATACAAAATTCCTTGGGTTCGCAAATGGGTTACAGCATTGTGTGATGCAGGGAAGCTTCTGATTCAGGATTACCGCACAATTAAAGACAATCTGCTACATATGGTCTGGTGCTTGTTGCCGATCCGCTCGGAATTCGACCTGCCAACCGTTGCATAACAGCGCCGATGCTGTGCTGCACGCAATTCAGGTGCTTTAAGTGCATTCGTTGTGTACAGCCAATTCCGCAGGTCAGAGCAAGTGAAGAAAAGGCGCGCTGCAGGATCTCCGGAGATTCGAGGGCGCCACCAGGAGATCTGCCCGCCAGTGAACAGAATTTGCATTCCGCGGACCATTTCCAACCCCACGACGAGGTGAATTTCGCACTCACTGTTTCCGCAATGGACAGCGTCTGCGCTTATGGGGACTTCAGCATCCTCCAAAGTCTGCCGCAAATCCAGAAAACCGGTGTGCATTGCGGATACCGCGACATGGTAGTGGCAGCCGCGAACAGCGCAATCTGTCACACAACTCTCCTTTATATCAAGACTCATGCCGCGCTTGCTCATAGTCCACAACAACAACAGGACATATGCCCCCTGGCGAAGGAACAAGGGCCCTCGAAATCGGCACTCGGGGTTCTTGCGATAGAACTCAAGGTTCTTGTTGTGGCTCTAACACCTTGGCCCCGTAAAGGGGCGATCCGACAGATCGAGCACCAGGCCGGCGAGAAGGACGTGGAATCCCCCTGCGATCCTGATGCATCGGTTGACGACACGGTAGGCTCAGAGCAGGCCCAGGAGACCTCATGGTGAGAACAGCAACGCTGCTGTCCCCCCCTCCCTCCGCTTCATCGTGCTTGGGTTTCTTAGCAACGCCGCTGAACCATGTCATCGAACTACCCAGGGCAAGCAACAGTCGATAGCAGGTTGTCCTGTTTCAACCACGCTGAAAGTACATTTCCCATTGAAGGCGCAGAGAAAGCACCTCTTGTGACGGTGTGCTTTCTGCTGCCTCCCCCACTGCAGGCTTGGAAAGTGTTGCGCCAGGATACCCGTCTTCGACCCTGACGGACCTTTCAAGCGCAATTGGGACTGGCTCGTCGTACTGCTCGTTCTGTACATTGCGGTGGAGACGCCTTTCGAGGCGTGCTTCATACAGACAAAGCCGGACGACTGGGACGGAGGGCGGAGCGTCGTTGGGCTGAAGTACTTGGGATACATCTCCGACTGCGCATTCATCCTGGACATTCTGTTCAACTTCAACACAGGTAGCACCGTCGATCTGGCTGGGCGAGCGAGCGTGCAACCGTTCCAGGACTTGCGTCCGACCTTTCCTACATGCGACTCGGTGTTCACAACTTGATGGTGTATCCCGCACAAATTGGAATCGTGCCTTGCTGGTAGACTATTCTCACCAAAACACTCTCTGCATTTCTTGAACAAAGTGTTCGAAATCTGCTATCCAGTTTCTACACATGTTAGGGCAGTGTTGAAGTCGCGTTGGCTGAATTCGCCTACTGTTGTCGGTGCAGAGTTTGTCAAATCAGGAGTCGTGAAAGTGTCTGGAAGAAAGGAAATTGCCAGCAATTACCTTATGGGCTTCTTTCCGATCGATTTGATATCCTCCGTTCCACTCGATTGGTTCCTAGGGAACTCAATTAAAGCAGTTTCAATGGCAAAGGTGCGACTGCTAAAACTATCCAAACAAATGCCTCATGCGCAACTTTTCCATTCGTCTTTGTAAAATTTCACACACCCTCATGATGGCTGCACTCCAACCACTGCAGGGTGCCGATTGCGATGGGAACGGCAAATCTAATCAGCATATGGGCACGAAGATATGATATAAAGGTTTGATGGGCACTATGGACACCTGCATAGACTTTCCAGATCTTGGATGTGACATCTGTGCCACACGATCACGCACAGTGAGTTGGCGGAATTGCACATTCTCTCCTCACGCCCTGCTCAATCTTTGTCATGGGGCGAACAGCCATGCTCACGAACCTGGCTGATGCATGGAAGTTTCCATGCATACCCCGTCCCATGTTCACTCGGATGCTGCTCGACATTTGTGCACTCACCCCTTGACGAGTGGCAGCTTACTGAACCGGTGCATCCGTGGTGCACCCATTCCAGTGCATCCGGCTGCTGCGGCTAGGCCGGCTCATGAGGAGGTTGGACCAGCTCCAGGCCGCCAATGCTCTTCGCGTAGTGAAGCTGATGTTTGCTTTCACGCTGGTATGCCACTGGGTGGCATGCGGTTGGTACTTTATTGGGGTTTACGAGGAAGAAATGATGTCTTCCGACGGCGACGAGTACATGTCTTGGACAGCGGCGATAAAGAATGGCCATGGTGTCAGCATGGATTCTGACGACACAGCGTATTGGTATCAGGTACGGTCGTGGTGAAATTTTCCTACCAGGAGAGAGCGCAGCTCACGTGGATTCAATAGTCCAATCTTAAGGATGTTTCGCTATCGCACCTCACTACCACGTTCCTCCCACTGCTGAGCTTCGATGTGAATCGATTCTTCCAACGTGCGCATTGGGCTATGGCGCGCCGATTCAATGGTGACGCGCTGCAGTCTGCCTTCTTGCCCAGGTGTCCTACTATTGGTCTCTGACCACCCTGACCACAATAGGATACGGAGGTACGACGACTCAGCGCCACCGGGCAGCCCGCGCTTGAATCTATGCTCCTGAGGAACAGCAGTTATCAGCAACGTGAACCAACTACAAGTTGTGACCTTGCCGCTTGTCCAGCGAATCCAGCCCCCTGTAAGCAAGGAACCACTGAATAAAGACAGTGTTCTGATGTTGATCGTCTTTTGTCTCTGTGTGGCACAGCATGGCATTCAGAATCGTCATCAAATAGACTCTCTAGGGAGGTTGGAAGCCAGAGCACAATTGAGAAACAGCATTTTCATGGGCATCATGTCTTACACGGCCTTGATGCACATAGGAGTGCGGTTTGGCAGCAAAGTGGCTAATCCATAGCCCCGCGAATTAGTCAGATTGCGCCAGAGACAGCAACTTACGCAAAAGAGCCAGCGTGGAAGAACCGATTTCTGCTGTTCACAAATTGCATTGAACCATCCCTGCCAGGGCATCCGCTGCAGCAATTCCGCACATGAGGGCTGCGCTGCAAGGAAGCATGCGATCCCAAAAGCACACGGCCGCGCGCCTTGCTTTGAGTGTTGCTGTCTTACACGGTATTCCCTGCAGTGAACAGCCTCTCACTCGAACTCGTTGGCTGATCCGGGCAGACGTCACCCCTATTTCCAGTCTGGAGAGGTGGTACACCATCAGCGTTGAAATCATGGGCAACGTGGTCAGTGCCGTGATAATTGGCAACGTAGCTGTGCTTATCTCCAGCTTTGACGCTTCATTCGCCAGATATCGTCAAAAACTGGATTTGCTGGCAGAGTTTGCTGGGGCGTACGACCTGCCCAGTGACATGCAGAAAAGAATCCTCGTGTCCATCGACTACTTCTTTCAAAAGAACAGGGGCTTGGATCTTCTGAGCGTACTGGACGACGTGTCTCTGGGCATGCGGGCAGAGATCTACCTCCACATGTACGGAAGCCTCGTGGAGCAGTCGCCCCTATTCTTAGGTGGGCCACGCCGCGGCTGCTCCTCGCCTGTCACCTGGACTCGTACACGGACACCTTCGACATTTTCCTGCAAAGCGTCAAAACATTGGCGCTGCGGTCTTTGGCTGAGTCTGCAGCCATTTGGCAGTTTTTCACGTTTGAGGCAACTCTCAAGTGCGAGGTGTTGATAACGAACTTGAGAGTCTTTGCAAAGAGGCAACCACTGCAGCGAGACAACCACGTACTCTCGGTTTGACCCTGCAGAGGGGCGCAGGATCCCATCAGACGTGTGGTACTGACGAAGGCAGGCAGGATCGAGGGGTGGCGATCCTGAACGGAAATTGTACGCTCGAGTCCACGGCAACGGTTTACAGCTGAGGCAAAAGGACAACAGGCGTTCTGACCTTTATATTCAGTCCGTTCATCAACGTTATTAATGCAATTCCCAGTGCTTCATCATCTTTTCATGCATTCACTTATTAATAGTACTCAATCAGTTCTAGCTGCAACAGTACCACCTTGCAAACAAACATGCATGGCCCCAGCGTGGTGGATTTCCCTGAGAGCATGGATGCCCCAATTCTTATACACTTCACAGGTTCCAAACCCGTCCTGGACGTCAGGCGCAAATTCAGGCGCCCTCGTTGCGTGAAGAGTGACGGATGGTCTGTTTGCGCCAGGCGCCCCCCCGTCCATCATCAGGGCAGTTGTTTCGGAGCTGAGGCTCCTGGAGTGCTACGCGGGGGACGTGGTGGTCCGCGCCGGGGACCCCGCCACGGAAATGTTCTTCATCCGGAAGGGCAGCGTCGAGGTCAGGCGCCCGCCAAACAAAGCAGAGGCGGGCCGGTCCAGGAGTTCTCGAAGCCTCGAGCGGAGCCACACGTTGAGATCCAGGGTCCTGAGGGCGGGGTTGTGCTTCGGAGAGATCCCCATGCTGAAGAGGCAGGCGTACAGGGAGAACGTCATCGCCCTGGAGCCGTGTGAGAATGTGTCCCTGTCGTACGCCGACCTGGTGCACATCATCAGCATCTTCCCCAAGTTTCGAGCCGCTTTCGCCCAGAACACGAGGCGCGTACTTTTCCTGTCCCACAGCTCACCCGGCGCCGACAGCTGCGCCTGCTTCGACATCCCCGACGGAGAATACTCGAGAGAGGTACACCATCCCCGTCACCCACGACGGCCATACAGTGCCATACAGTGCCATACAGTGCGGCGTGCTGCCCTGCCTTGCGAACTGCATTCGGCACGCCGGTCCATCACTCTTCTGCACTCTGCATGTTGCGCATTGAGCAAATTTCGTCACGGCATGAACCCCATGGCCCTCCAACAACTAGCGCACTCATGGGCAGGCGGTCGGTTGGCAAATGCACGCGAAAAGCTCGATGCCAACTGCGCAAAGAGAAGCAGCGCCTCGTGGCCACATTTTCAGGCAGTGTCTTGGAGTGAAGGATGTCCAGCCCACCCCCCCACCCCCCCGAGTGCCCAGGCGGCATGCCTTGTTGGAGACGTCGTTGGGGACTGCAGCAGCGTTAATTTTGTGCGTTGGCAAGAGAACCGCATCGCAAGTCGCACTCCTGTGCACAGTGGGCTCCGCAGGAGAAGGGTCATCGGAAGTCGGCAGAACCCAAACGTTGGCGTATGACAGCACCATCCTGGGGATTTAGGATATCGGCTTTTGCGGGGGCCTGCACATCAGAAGATTGCACTGCAACTCCTCATTTGCTCTCTCAGAGAACGTCGAAGGCCAAAAGCAGGAAGGTGGATTCAGGGAGTTCTGAGGACGAAAGTGCGCATGATGGTGGTTTACCAGCGAAGCCGCTGGGAACCATGACAGAACAGTGCGAGGAACTTAACCTGGCTACTTCCGCTTGCGCAGCACTCCTGACTGCTGCACAACAGTCAATGGGGCCAAGAAAGTCGTTGAAGCTGTCAAACCCCAAAAAATCGAGTGCAGCTTTGGCGCTCGACCTGCAGTCGGCTGTTGGGAGCTCCGATGCACTGCAAACACGCAACAGTGAAGATGACGGCGATGTTCCCATCCCGGTCAGTAAGGATTCGTTGCAGCCACCTGCCTGGCAACCATGGACTGTTCATGGTACCTGCCCCGCACAATAGACGAGAGCCAAGCCCACCCAGTCCGCCACGTTGCACTGTACTCACACCACTGCCTGCCTTGCAATGTGCAGGATGCCAGTGGCTTGGCAGCAGAAGTCCACGATCTCAAAAGTCAAATCGTTGCAGCAGAGATCGGGCGTGTGGAGCTCGCCAGCGGAATGGAGGTTCTGGAGAAGAGGATGTCACGACTTGAGGATTCCAGACAACTCCCATCAGAAGAGCAGCCAGGCGCCTAGATGGACGTGTCGTCCAACATCGTTTGGTGTGCTTGGTGTGTGACAGGTTTCCCGGGGTGTGGTTGCCGCAATCGCTGGACTGCCAGCAGCATGAATATAAGCCAATGGGTAAAACAGGGATCAAAATCCTGGGTAGCTGCAATGTCCCCCAGAGAGTGTGGCAGCGGATCTCGGCAGCAGCTGAGGCGCACGGCACCAGTAGGGAGTCCTCCAGTCAGCAAACAGGTGTTTTGGCAGGCCTATTATGACACTTGCACTGGCAGGTCCATGCAGCGTGCAGAGTGCACGAGGGCAAAGGGTGTAGTTGTTTGGGGCACAATCTTGACACATGTGTTCTGTAGAAACGCTACGGTGCACTGCACAATAGCTTTTGGGATAGATAGTCAACAGCGATTTCATAATAGGTCGCAGCGCCCACCAGATGGGCAACTATTGCCCAAGTGCCACGTCCACAAAGCCATTATTCTTTCGCTCAGGCGTCTCTTTGTATTGGTCTTTTGTTGGGTATGCCTGGTCGTCTGGGAAACTTCTCTGGGGTTGTCCTCATCTTCTTTATCACCACTGCTGTCCTTTGTCCAAGAGAGCCAAACGATTCCACACAATGGACACCTTCTATTGAGCCACCCAACACACTCGTCGCGTTTTCTGCTGCAGCAACCTCGTCCTGCATCAGAAAACCAACGCTGTCATCCCCAAACCATCCACCACTGAACAAGCGCCGTGCAGAGCTTTCTTTCCAAATGCTTTTCAGTCCACTGGGATGTTTTGATGGCTATTCCATCTACAGTATGTAGTGTAAGCAGGGTAACGTGATGACTCTTCATGCTGTGCAACTTGGATTTCCTCAGTATATGGCATCATTTCCTCAGTGTATGACATTCCTTTTAACTGTGTTCAAGAGCAGGCTGAGCTGAGCTGAGCTCAGACGACTCCAGCATGAAGCCAGCGCAACAATAGAAACTCCCAGTACGGCAATACTTGCATTACATCTGATGTTCACCATCCACCATACACTGTGCCGCGTGGACACATACCCCACCAGTCCTCCTCATCAGTACCCAGCAGTGGGAAACACAATTGTGGGCTGACCGTACTGTTTCATGGCGCCACAATGGGGATGAAATTTTCAAAATCTAGACAGAGCACCAAGTCATCCTTCAGACAACAGTTCACTTGGCACACATGCCTGCTGGAGAGGTTAGGACAGGTTTGCATTGGCACAGAACCAGCTATCTTTGCACAGAGCACAACACTACAGTGCAGTGCATTCAAGCTCCAGTGTAGTTGTGAATGCTCACGCACTAACATTCAGAGACATTCGGCATCAATTATGCCCACCACGGACAGCATTTTGTTGGATGCGGTGCTTGCTCAAAGGAAAATGAGAATTCCATTGCCTTAGCTCACCTCCACATCAGCTCCCTTGGCAGCAACAAGTGAACCCCCAACCTTCACGAAGGGCAGACACAACTCTACCAGCACTCGCAGTTCAGCAACAGCCCGTGCCACAGCCGCATCGTAAACCTACAAAGCAATGGTGTGCACTGAATGTTGTGTGGCAGTGAATCGATTGACACTGTTGTCAGTTGAGGGAAAACCGTTTCTGACACAGGACCAACTGCACTGACCCATTCCAGATATTGCCTGTATATACTTCAAATGCTGAGGGGTGATCAGCAGTGTTGAGGGTGTTCTCACTTCTCTGTGTTCAGTTGTCCTCCCAATGTCTTCTGCTCGAGCCCTGACCACCACAATATTGTGGATGCCTAGCTGTACACCACAAGATACCCTCTTTCAGACAGAAATGGCACCAAAGTGGCAAGACGTCCTTGAATCCAACAGGAGCAGATGCGTGCACCACTGTTGGTTTCCAAGATTCTGCACAGTTCATGAAATGCAAAGCTATGCTAGCAATCCTGCTTCAACAGGTTTATGATGGGGCAAATGACAACAGGGGGGGCTTTCCAGGATTTCCTGACAGAAGGGCATCCTCAGAGATGGAGACCTCTGCAGGGCTCAAATGATAAAAGAGGGTCCTGTGAGTGCCCGCCAAACACCCTGCACCTGCCGCCAGACTGGCAGCAGACCAATAAGGCACCCAATGTACAGCGGGCGCTCATATGACCCCCTTCTATCAGTTGACCCCCCTCAGAGGTGCCAATTTGTTACAAATTCATGGAAAGGGCTCCCTTTTCTTTTCTTTTTAAGACAGGACGCTGCAAGAAACAGCCTGTAATAGTTAAAAAAACAGTTAAAAACAGCCTGTAATAGTAATGTTGTTACAGCAATGAGAAACTTATGCCATCGAAACAAAGTACTGCAGCTTCATGCTCCTACACCAAGAGTTGCATATGTCTGGTGTCCATGTAGACCAAAGTCATGGCAGCTAGCTTGGCTGGCAACATAAAATACAAGATGCCTCAAACCCTGTCTTGGATGCCATCTAAAGGACAGGCAAATCCAGAGCATGGAGCCACCCTGGCGCAGTGTACATTTACAGGCAGCTTCCAAATCTGCAGCTTGCCAACATATCAATGCAATTTCAAACATTCTCACCGCAGTGCTTGCAAGCAGAGCCGACAAAATCACATCGCTTCTGCGAAGAGTCCAACAGTACCACCTGTTATACCAGAGCACCAGCAATGAAACAAGGCATCAAAAGTTCAGTGTGTCATCACTGCTCATATTTCCCATAATCGCTCGATTAGAGTTCCTTATGATCATCCAGTCAAGATCAGACCTTGCAGTATGCATCGCATAGTGCCAGAGCAGGTTGCCTGGACAATCATTTGCATTCCCTGCACAAGCATCATCATGCTGATGTGGTGCTTGGTGGCACATATCCAGTGTCAATGCCTTCTGTAGCCAGCAAACAGACCTCCAACTGATTTCTTGTTACGTATTCGTTTACCAACAACTTCCAAACAGCATTTTGCAGCCACTCTGTTTGGACACTTGACAGCCCTTGGTTAGTATCTGAACGTACCAATGGAATGTGACGCCTGAGTTCATCTTCCCTAATCTCACTACCAGAAACGGCTCGCTGCTCGTAGTTGGTGATCAGCACAACGCTGAATAGAACCACGGACAGCGATGCTGCCACAGATGCCTTCTCTGGTCACTTCTCGCATTGGTGATCAAACACGCCCAAACAAGCACACCTGCCATTCTGGCCTCATGATGGCCAAGACGACCCCGGGGATTCCAGCGCCACTTCCGACGTCCATGATGCGAATCTTGCCCCCTGCCACCACGCTGTTCACTGCATCCTCAAGCACAGGGAGGAGGGCGATTGAGTCCTCCACAAGGACGTCGAAGGCCCGTTCGCGCGTCTTCACCGCCGTCAAGTTCATCCGTTTGCCGCACTCCAGCAGATAGTCAACAAAATTTTCCAATTGCCCTTGCTGTTTTGGAGTGGGGGCGCCACCAATTCCGTGCCCTGTGCCACGGGTGCCCTGGCAGGCCAAACAACAACAGCCACGCTCCTTTGGTGAGCCGGGGATAACAAGACTTTCAAGGGCTTGCGTGCTGGGAACAACAAGGCATTTAAACTGGCAGTCAATGCGGAGAGGACAGCCTCGTGAAGGAAACACAAGTGCTCACTGGTAAATGGCAAGCATCGGGAATGCCTGATACCTGCCGGAGGCCACGGCGCTGCCCGCGGTGACCAGCTGCGAAGCACGGCTGCCATAGCGAGAGGGTTTTCCAGGACAACCGGGCTCCAGACTTTGAAAGCGTCGCTTGGCTGTACTGGGACTGCGCGAGGCGTCGCGCTATCAGTCCTTGACCCGCCAACTGGAAGGGCATGGAAAACTGGTGGATGCAAGGGCGTGGAGGCACGGACGACGCTCGGGGGCAAAAGATGCTATTCTGAATTTTGTACGCTTGTAGCTTCAATGTGACGTCAAGCTCAGAGGGTACCTTCCCCCCCTGTTTAGCGTCAATCCTTAATTCCATGCCAGGATGACTCAGCAACATTATCTAACAATGCGATACAACTTTAAATTTATTTCAAGGGGAAAAGCAGCCAAAACTTTAGCGATTGCAGTGATTTGAAAAATGGGGGCTAAAACCATGATAAGCAATGGAGCAGCCCAAAAGCCTGAAAATTGATCCGTTCTAAGGACTTCCTCGAACATTGAAAGTTTGAAGGAAGTTTTGCAGCAAGTCACGAGCTATCCGCCGCTGATCAGCGGTGTTTTTTGTGCATCTTCCCACTTCATTTTGATTTTAGAGCAATTACAAGATCTCCTAACCACAATGGCTGGACCCCCAACCCCACCCCCCTTGACGTCAAATTAGCGGCAAGCGCACAAAATTGAAAGTAGTGTCTTCCTTTCGAGTTGAAAATCGCTTGCCAAATGTATTGCCACGTGGAAGGCGCCATGTCGATATGTCACACTTCGAATCAACTTGATGTTGAACTCAGCCCATCAATCCTTTGGTCGATGCCGGCATGACTCAACAACACTACCTGACAGCGCGACATTTACCCTGTCGTGAACTCTTCCTTGGTCCACGTCACAAGCAATCAGATTCATTAGTAATGCCTTTGGATTTACCACTACATTCTCGAAGGGCACTGATGAGCATCGCCAACAAACATGCTTTCACCCAAAGCCAGAACGGAGGGATAAGTTGCTGGAGCACAGATGCTCAGCCAACACTATGAACAGAATAGCAAGGAAAGAGAGAGAAGCCTGGTCTTTCCGTTCCTATCCACCTCTCAGACATTACATTTCTGATTGCGCAGGTCATGCAACTGGTCATTACCAAACATCCGAACCCCATACTTGCGAGTACATGACATGCTTCCAAGCTCATATGAGCAAAATAAGATTGATCACAGAAACTGTACAGCTGCGATTGGAGGTCCACAATTCTCACAAGAAACATTATGAACAAGGCATCATGGGGAGAACGGCATTTCTCGTTGAACTGCAAAATCATCCATCTTCAGGACAATATGGACAAAGGTTGCCACCAAAAAGGAGGAAACTCATGGTCTCTCATTTTCAGTCACGCAAATAGGCATTACTGTAATCAAGAGATACCCTATGAGCCAATTTAGATCAATCGATTCCAGGGCTTACATCAATAGACTGTCTAGAGCATTTTTATGAAACAATCTTATTTCTATTTATTACTTGCAATGGTCACATGCTGGGGCCAGCCTACACAATGGGTTCTGTGTTTGGTGACCGTTCGCTAGAGATAGGGCACAAGTGTTCCTCCCAGCGGAGCAGTGGTGATTCTGCTGCGCCGCGATCAAGGGGCAAACTGGATTGGAAGAAAGATGATTTCGTGCACGACAATTTTATTGATTTCATTCAATCAGACCCAGGCCCCTACAAGATGGTCTAAAGGCTACAGGCGCACAGCAATGTATTTTCGCTTGCTGAGCATGGAAGAGGTGCTGCGAAAATGGTGTTGAGAAACTCGGGGGACTAGGATGGGTTTGCGAAGCTGCAGGCAATCGAAGGCAAGACAGCTGGAGGCGATCAGCTGCACACAAAGCATCTGCAGAGTAATGACTATAAGCAAACTGTGGCTATTCAGCCTGTTTCCACGCAAATGCCCCTGAGCAAGGATTAAGCCAACCACTTTACAGCGGTGCCATGAGCTTCATGCGCTAAACACGTGGCTTTTGGCGTGCTCACACATTTCCAATGTCAGTCTTTTGTTCGTTTCTCTGATATCACCTCAATGACGTCCATTGTAACTCAGCCAGGCACGGTGACCAGGGTGTGAACCGCACGGATCACGGCCTGTGCCATAGTACCACTCCGTTGAGCCGATGGCCCAATAGTCGCATGGGATTCAGCTTGTCAATAAGGACCCACCGCGAATCCATGAACAACCGGTGTGGAAAGTTCCTTGCCTTCCATATCGCTGCCTACGTTTGAGCACAACACAGAACAACCAGCAATCGCACCACAATGCGCCATCACGTGCACAAGCAGCCCTTTTGTAATCCATCACCAAGTTCCATTCATTTGCACCCGCTTTGCAGAGCCAGTACTCCGTCCCGCATCAGTTACTGGACCTATCGTCCATCACTTCTAGCAAAGAATTCAGGGCCCACACTGGTCGTGCGTTGCCTTCCTAATGTGCCTCCACTGCTGGACGTGATAAACTTTGTTCTAGCCTTTCAAACCCAATTACCTATCAGTTCCCAGCCAGCAAGCTTTAAGACAGACTCAAATTTCAATGGCATTGTATACTTCCCGTATGCCACCGTCCTACAACCCAATACAAGGTGCCTAAAATTCAATATCATTTGAAACCGCTATCCAACAGACATTCTTATCGGTTCTCAAGCTCGCCCCACTGTAGCGGCCATCCACATGTCTATATCTCAAAAGCAAAAGCGCCCACAGCGAGTGTTGCATTGCAATGCCACAGCAACCAGTCAACCCCGGTCGCAAGGTACTCCCTGCAAGTGAACACTGCAAAAGCCCAGGATGGTGTTAGCACCCCGCAGCAGCTATTGCGCCTCCCAAACTGCAAAATTTCGACCAGAGGCTGCCATCTTCCACTCTTTCTGACCAGAGCTATTTGCCACAGCATTGTCATTGTTTGGTGACCAGTTCCCTGGCCCCATTTTCATCGCGATGCGGGCGTCGATCACTGCACTGTACACATCCGATGATGCCTGGAAGATCTTGATGGAGGACCTACAGCAGGTGAACGATGGTCAACAATCATCTTCAGCAAAGAATGCAGCAATGCCGTCTCCACTATGACACACAATCTGCACGGAAAACACAGCCACTCACATGGTGCTGGCAGGAGCACAATAGGCTGCATCCTGAGCTCTACCACTTTAGTTCCATTCCATGCAGCATTGATATTGCAGCCCACGATTCAGTGCAGTCCCCTGGTTTGTTGGTCAGGTTGCTTCACCCGCTGCTGATTCGCGCAGCTCTGCACACATTGGACCCAAGAGATGCACAGTTCATAGCCAAGTGCATTTCAGTGCAGTTGCAGGTTAGTGACGGTGCCAGAGGCATTGGCGCCTTTCCAAGATTGGGGCTTGACCACATTTACTTATGGCTAACACATCACGAGACCAAAACACATTGCCACTTGTTTGCAAAACTTCTGGCAGCCAGCATTCCAAATCATAGGCGTCCTGTCCTGAGCTGGTTGCAGTGGCCATGCATTGTCATTGGATCAAAACAATCCAAACAAGTTAGAAGTCCTTGCACAACAGCCAATCCAGACCTGCAATGGATTTCGTTTCTCTTCCTTATGCGCAGCAGGTCCTCAATGCACTTTCTCAGCCCATCGGCATCTTGCCAAATGTGGTCGTAGAAAACGCACGGTGTCCCAGGATGCGTCAGTATGTAAGCATAGCCCTCAGGAAGTGAATTTGTGGGGAAGGGCCAGTGCTGCAAGCTGGAACCTGTGTCATGGTTGTCGATGAAGAGAACAGCTCGAGATGGCCACATGCCCACCATGCCTGCTGGGCGGCCTTCAGGGTCCACAAGACGCCTGTAGCAGTGAGCCATCAATGATGTCAGGAACCAAAAGTGTCCGAGCCAGATCAGAATTTCATGCCACAGCACAGCTTCAACGAACACAGGAATGACTTCTGGGAAGCCGAGGCCAATGCTAAAGAGTTATCGCCAGTGCGCTGACTGCTTGCTGTTGGGCCTGCACTGCATCTGACTGTTGAGTCCAAGCTTGCTGATGCTGCCTGAAACTTTTCCTCTGAATCGATTGCTCTATCATGGTAGTACATTCTGTGCATACTGCCATCAACACATAAAACAAATCAACAATGCTGCATTGTCAACACTGGCATCAGCACTGGGATCCACCCGAATGTCAGATCCATTTGCCAGTTTGTATGTCTGTTATTCAGCCACACACAAACTCTCGATGCCCTTAAATACAATTCTGGCTGACAGATGCTTCAAATGTTGGTGACAGTTGTGGTGCAGGCTTGCACAAAAAGAGCTGTCCCAAGCCTGCAGAGTGTCTATGTTCATGCTGGCCATCTTGCAGTAGGACTCACCAATACTCTTGTCGTCCCACTGCTTCCTGAAGAATCCCTTTTGTGGTGAAATCGAAGGCTGCAGACGTCCCCCCAGTGGAATCGCACCAAGTCACAGTGCGCTGACGGTGCTGGTCCTGAGGGGCAACAATGGTGACCACACTCAAGCGATCAGCCATGGTATTGCCACTGAGCTGCCCCAACAAATCACACTGAACTACAATGGACACCACTGAAGAAAATACTGCGATTGCGATTTTGCTGTTGGCTGCCATACCTGGTTGTAATTCAGCACACTGTCTGTGTACTCACAGGTGTCCCAGAACTCGCCAATGGCCAACTCGGGGACAGTGTTGTCAATGTATTGCCTCAAGTAGGTGCCTGGATATCCCTTAACGAAGTCAAATCGCCACCCATCGATCCCTATGCTCTGCCTGAGGAATGTCATCCACTTTGTGATGTCCTCCCTGCAGGGTATTCACATGAAGCAAAATTTCAAGGCAATCGGCCAGGCACTTGGCACAAGTCACCTGTACGGCCAGGGAGGGTTTGGCTTTGATGTCAATCAGAACTTGGAGCAAAACATTCCCAAAACACAGTGTGCGGATACTGATGTGGTTCACAAACACCACCACTGGTGGTTGCAAAGAAAAATGAAACGACGCACCTGATTTGTGGGTTTGAATGGTCAATATTCGGTGCTGCAGCATACTCATCTCCTTGTTTTGGGTTTCCCCTGCCACCCCACTCTGGATTTCCTGTGCATATGGCACTTGCATCCCATGGCAAGCGCCCACCAAACTGAGCACAGCATGAGCAATGCCGTCAGTGACAGATTCTTACAGCACAGAATGCTGCCAGCAATGCGACACTCGGGAGATCTAGCAATCGCATCAGCCTCGTTGGAAGAATGCCAAGAGGAGCTACACATTGGCTGTGTCTCAATAGCAGACTGCAGAACATCGATTCCGTTTCCAACAGATCCCGAAACTGATGGCCACAAGATTGCTGGCTGCATTTCCTGTGCCCCACAGAACCCAATCACAACAACTGCGGACTTATCTCCCTCCCTAAAATGAGGAGATTATGGTACGGCCCCTACCTTATTCCATTTTCCTCCTTCCCCTTGTTCTGATGCACACCTGTGGTTGATCACCACGTCTGCAAGAACCTTGAGGCCATTTTGGTGGAGACAAGATATGGCATGCCGAAGGTCTGCCTCAGAGCCATAGCTAGAGTTCAGGCTATACAAGTCCCGAGGGAGGTATCCCTGCTCACAGCCACCAGGGAGAGGCCAATTACAACCCAAACAACAGCAATTAGACGTTCACATCGGGCCAAGTCCCCTGAGCACAAATACATAATATACCAGCAGACAGCAATACACAGCGATGGCAACATAGGGCATAGCAATGGTCAGAGGTGGTGCATGCCAATCTGGAGGGGCTTTGGTTGACTAAAGAGTGTGGGGCCATTCACCTGCGGGCTAACAGAGTCGCTTGGCGGTGGCAACCACACAGCAGTAAAGCCCAGTTTAGCAAAGTCAGTGGCTTGATTGGCAAGGATCTTGTACCAATCCTGTTCCAAGAGATGCACACGCACATTCTCAGCATTATAAGCCAGCCCAGCCCACCACAACACAAGATCTGGCAGCTCCTGTTTTCCGCGCAGCAAGGCGCAAGGCCACACGGCCATGATCTACGGTGTTCATCATAAGTCTTCCCCAAGGTGTCTCAGAAGGGTGTGCACACGGAGACAATACTTACATAGACACAACAATCGCTGAAGGCCAAATGAAAGCCACAGAGTGCATGACACCCACGAGTAACAAGGACCAAGGCAGAGGAAGGCATGATTGTATTCAAGGACATTCAAGATCGATATTTGAGCACCTTGAATACAGTCACAATGGCAACCTGAGGACGTGCTGTGTGATTGTATGCTGGTTACCTGGTGATGAGAGTCCCAATTAAACCCTTGCAGAATGATCTCATACCCATTGCCTGTGGCTGGTCCTGTGCTGGTTCCGCCACCAGCCTGGAAACGTAGATCTGCACCACCACCACGGGCAGCTTCAGGCTCTGTGGGTTTCTGTCACAGAAAGACGGCCATTAGTGTCAATCAACCATTTAACAACTGTAAAATAATCAAGCACAACAACAGAAACGTTGACATGATGCAGAAGTGGACACTCTCATCCCAGGCTGTTGATGTGCCTGTTGAGGTGCACAAGATGCAAACATCGCATATTTCTGTTGCAAACTCAACAGCAAACCTCCTTGCAACCAGCAAATGTTTCTCAGGATGAATAGCCACTGTTGTAACGGGTACTGTGTCACGATTCCTTGTTGTGGTGGAAATTTTGTGTGGTCGCCAAGTTGCAGAACAGCAAGAAGATTTTGCTGGGGCAAAATGTGTGCCCCAGATGTCACTCATCACTGGTGGTTTGTATTAACCCCAGGTCCTGAACTCTGTGCTGGCACCCCACAACGGCAAGGTTGTGTTCACCCTCCTTATGGCGGTTCCATGAAGCCTGCCTTGGCACTCTGGACCCTACCTCAGGAGCTCTTCTCATTGCCAACATTGCTTCCAATTGCAGCAATGGTCTGTCCAACAGAGCTGCAGCCGTTGCCCTGTCAGCCTCCTTGATGGTCAACTCTGAGACGTCACCCTGCATGTCACAGGAATAAACAAAGAGATGAGCCACGAGCATGGTGCTTGACAAATGGTAGATTATGGGATCAGATTCCCTGGCAATGTACACATGCAGCAGTACCAAACCATGCATTTGCACATACAGCAGTGCCAAACCATGCATTTGCACATGCTCACGGCCACAACAGGGCCATTCAAATGCAACATGCATGTTCAAAAGTTGGGTTCTTGATCACCAGTTCAACGTCAGGGGTCCTGCCCCAAAGATGCTGATCACAGCCTCAACCTACCCCATTAGAAATCATATCCACTATTTCCTTTTCGAGCTTAGCCAAAGTCAGTGCCGCCTGGGCTACTTCTTCAGCTGTTTGGCGCAGCGAATCCACGTTCTCCTGCGTGACACCAAACAGCATCGTGAGCAAATACTTGGAGCATCGCACACAACTGTTCTTGTGCAGTATTCTTGAGATCCGTCCCTGTTAGGAAATCACAAACCACTTCCAGGTCTTCATACATTAGCCACTGCATTGGTTCTTACCATCTGGAAACCTGGTGCTATGGGCTTGATTGGCTTTCCTCCACCCAGCTGTATGCCATAAACCAATGGCCGGGTGCTGAATATTCTTGCAGCCACAAGGTCTTTCTGTATCTTCACACGGCAGTCCTCCCATGCTCTGGCATCAATCTGCACAAGATGAAAAGAGTTAATCAGGGCAAATCCCACCTGCTATTAAGGGCACCACACCATGCATAGTGGTTTGCATTTTCTGGCATGTTGTGGAGAGGAAGCAGACAATATCCTCATGTTGCATTAGTCCTGCAGCCAATGACACACTCACAGAACCAGAGATTGGTACAACTGCCATTTTTGCAATGGCTCCATTGGGCAACAGAAGAAGAAACAGCAGCACATCTGCCATAAAAGTCCCACCTCCTTGCACCATGTTCAGTGAGACCTTGAGTTTCTGGAAAGAAAATCTGGTGCGTTTGGGTGGTGAATGTTGGCATGCAGGAGCTCTGCACACCAGTACCCCGTCCCCACGGCTGCACTATCATTATAGTGAACACCATATTTAGCCATCAGAGCCAGCAATCGCATCACCTTGGTACCATCCTGATTGGTAACTCTGAAGACACCATCAGTCGGGTTCACTGTGGCGGACAGAATGACGAGGTCCTGGTTTCGCAAGGACACTGAAAGCGGCTCCAGCAGGCCAGAGCAGTCGTCTCCCCTCACACACATCAAGGTGGCCGCCGGATCTTTGTCGCCATCGAACGTTATCTCTATGCTGTCATCAATCTCAATGGACGACAGGGGCTGCACGCACGATCAGCAAATTCCTTCAATGGGGGTCTTTGGAAGATGGGAAACTGTGAATCGCCAGTGTCGATCAGTCCCCGTGACGCACAGCACACCCGCCATGAACAACCCTAGAGCTCCCGATGCCCCCCGTGCTCTCGTCTGGCGGGCATTTGCACCAATGGCCAAAGAGACCAAAGTCCACGGCACCGAAGCATTGGCACAGATTCGACAGATCGACGGCCAGGTCGACGACCGCGCAGAAAGCGTCGCCCCAAGCAACGCTTGCGATCTGCGTGCCTGCGTCTCGACGGCCCTCGCCAGCAAGTGCGCCCGGTGCCCGCGCCCGGGGTGCGGCGCCGCCACCGGCATCCTCTGGGCCGACCTCCCCGCCTGCCTGGTCTGCGTCCCTCCCCTTTGGGCGACCAGCCTGACCAAAGACGGGCGCAGAAGGGCATCAATCAGTTTCAGAGGCGCCAAAAACACGGCAGCCATCACGACCACCAGAAAAAGGCACCGTCGCCGCACATGGTCGCCGGATAGCGGCCGCGCACCGTGTGAAAGTCGGCTGGGGGCATGCCGTTGCCCGCGGAGGATCCGGCGCGGGCGCCATCCAGGAGGCGCCAGCCGCGCGGGTGGCTCCAAAGGCGAAGGGCGATTCAGGCGCGCCGCGAGGCCCCCAAGGGGGGAAGGAGGCGGAGGGCAAGGGGGCCCAGGGATCGCCGCGGTGCGTCGCGCAGGTCGGCGGGGCCGTCAGTGGTCGATTGGTTTGTGGTGCGACATGCGGACGAGTGGACAGGCGGACCAATGTGGGCATCATGGCATCAAAATGAAATTGGGAAGTAGTACTACTTCCCAGTACTAATACTGGTGTGCCGCATAAATAAATACCGGATAAATGGTGCGCCGAACAAAAATAAGATTGGGAAACGGGGGCTGCCTGCGGGCACGCCCAAGGCCGTCAACAGCCCGAGAGAGTGTCGGGCCCATGTCTTTGAGCGATTCGCTCAACGTCCATTTCTGTTTTGTGGGAATCCTTGCGCACGTGGAGCCGTGATCGTCCGAGAGCACCGTTGGCACCAGGCCGGCATTCACGAATGCCACCTGTGCGTCGGGGTTCATGGCATTTTTCTTTTCTTCTGTTTTTTTTTCTTTCCGGGGGCCCTGGCTGGGGTGTTTGCGACCCAGCCCAACATGTGAGCAAGATGGTGGAGAGTACGCAGTCGCGCCTGGGTTACCGCAGGGGCGACCGAGACGTCCTGCCCACGAGGAGGGTGTGGGGTGAGATTTGTTTCAAATCAAAGAAAGCATGCCACGGAGGAGGGTCTGGGGATTGGGGTTTGCTGGTCAAATCTCTGCTTTGTCCTCTGGGGGAGGGGCGCCTGTGGGTGGGGGACGCAATGTTACGTAAGCGTTGGAGAGCGAGCCAGTTTAACACCGTTAAAAGGCACAATTACGTGAGTCTAAGCTCCTGAAATTGCGTTGAGGTTGGATTTGATGGCGTGGTACGGGGCCCGAGCTGCGCGACGGTGTTGGAGCGGACACCTGCGACTGCCTGCTCTGTGGGTGCTGCGCGCAGCAACAACCGAGGAGATCCTAGGAGCACCGTTAGCCAGCACCTTCTCCACAGTCCCCGCACTCGCGCAGTGCCACCACCAGTTGCTTTTTGTTCAGGTACCCCACCTCGATGCCGCGCCCCCGCCTTTGCGCAAGTTCGCGCTGTGGACACCTCTCGCAGCGGCACCCCTGCGCGGAGTGCGACCCTCTGTCCGTGCTGGCGCGCTAGCCCGCGCATGGCGCCCCGGCCTTGCTGTCTGTCGGTCCGCTCCGCCCTGTGTGGCGTCAGTGGCGCTGTCAGGTGTTTCGCCAACACCACTCTATCCTCGTGCCGGCCTCGATCTTCGCTCTGCGCGGGTAGATTTGTGGGCGAACATCGTGATTTGGATTCGCAGCGCTGAGTGGCATTCAGCCCGCTTGTTGACTGCCTGCGCAGCTGCCGACCCTCTTGCGGTCATGACGGTCACAACAAGAAGCAACAGACGGCCAGATCCGTCCGAGGAGTTAGCTGGATCGAAGCCAGGAGCCAGCCCTGACAAGCCAACAGTGGAGAAGGAAAATGGAAAGAAGGCGAAACTGGCACTGACGTGGGAAGAGAGGCGAAGCATTTTGCTGTTGGTGGTGTTGTACTGCGTGCAGGGAGTGCCCATGGGTTTGTCTGCAGGAAGCATGTGAGTTGGCCGAATAGCTCTCCCGGCAGTTCAACGGGCGCTTTGTTGTCGCCCTGGACAAGAGTGCAATGGTTCAATGCTGGAAGGCGGTCTTCTGAACTTGCGGGCAGTCCCTGGGTGCAGCGCTATGGACATGGCCTGATCAAAGCTGAAAGACCCGGCCTCCTTCTCTCCCTTGCTGAATATTTTTCAGTTGCATATTAACAGTGCGACTGATTGTAAACGACTGCTTGGGATGACGTTTTGATGCTGTGTTGCAGACCGTTTCTGCTGCAGGCCAATGCTTCATACACAGAGATCGGGCTGTTTTCCATCACTAGCTACCCGTACTCTTCCAAGCTGTTGTGGAGCCCCATCGTTGATGCAGTATACAGTCCAAGCTTTGGTCGACGGAAAAGCTGGATCGTACCGATTCAGACAATAAGTGCACTTCTGTTGTTCACTCTTGGAGACCAGGCACAGTCGTTCCTTGAGTCCACAGACATTTTTCGACTCAGCGTCCTGTTCTTCGTTTTCGTTGTCCTCGCAGCCACCCAGGACATTGCTGTTGATGGTTGGGCCCTGACCCTCCTGCCCAAGCACCACGCTGGATACGCTGCTACGTGCCAGACGATTGGACTGAACCTTGGATATTTCATTTCATTCACGGTGTTCCTGGCCTTGAACGACCCTGATTTTTGCAACAAGCACCTGAGGGTGGAGCCGTCTGAGGTCGGATTAGTAACACTGTCATCATACATGAAATTCTGGGGCGTGGTGTATGGAATTGTGACACTGTGTGTGGCTCTGCTGAAACAAGAAGGGACGATCTCCAAGTCACAGGATTCAGATTTGCCTAATGGAAGTATGGGGGAGCTGTCAAGGGCATACAAACAGCTATGGGCAGTAGTGCGGCTCCCTGCTGTTCGCCAATTGACTGTGTTCCTCCTGATTTGCCGAGTGGGCAGTCTGGCAGCAGAGTCTGCAAGTCCTTTGAAACTTTTGGACAAGGGTGTTTGCAAGGAAGCGCTGGCTGGTCTGGTCCTTTTGGAGTTCCCTTTGGAAATAGTGTCAGCTGTGTTGGCGGGGAGATGGGCTGCGCGACGCTCAGCTTTTGGCCCATATTTGGTCGCTTACCATATGAGGCTGGTGCTCGCATGTCTGATCACAGCATTGGTGTACGTCTTTCCCGGGAATGCAGAGGGCTTCGGCTCTCACCCTGTGATGTTCTCTGCCCTGGCCCTGATTGGGGTGCTCACATCGTTCATGGGCACACTGTCCTTCACATCACTGGGAAGCTTTTACAACAAAATCAGTGATCCACAAATGGGAGGCGCCTACCTCACACTCTTAAACACGATTGCAAACATGGGCTGGAGCCTTCCAAAGGTGCCAGTGTATTGGCTGATGGATTTGCTGACTGTGAGGGAGTGCAAAGGTCCAGCCAACGAGAATTGGCACCACTTCTGTCCGTCAGGGAAGCACCAGGCTCTAGGGTCAAACCCCTGCACTGATGTGGGCGGCAGCTGTGTGGTAACCTTCGATGGTTATTACCCCTTGGTGTATGGGATGGTTGTCGTCGGTGTCCTTCTAGGTCAGTACTTCTGCCGTTTGCTGCCAAAGCTAGAGGCGATTCCTGCTGACCAGTGGCACGCCAAGGAACTTAAGAGGGAGTGACGGGCTGGCTGCATTTAGCTTTTAGCTGTTCTCTGAGACGAGGGCCGATCAAGTTTGCGATCAAAAGTCTTTGGTGTGCTCTGAATTATGAGATGGTCATTCTAGGATAGGGCCGCAAGCCTTTTAACGTTCCTTCTGTTTCCACTGGCGCATCTTGTACCCTCAGAACACGGTCTCCTGCCCAGAGGCGCTGCTTTCTTTGCTGCCTAATAGGAACTGTCCGCCCCTCACGGAAGCAAGAGCGCACTGCGTGAGGAAGCAAATTGGACTTTTGGCTTTGTTGCCACATGTGTTCTTCTCCGTGGCTGTGCCGCTCCTACCAATTAGACAATGTCCTCTGCCTCCAGCACCTTTGCGTTTGCCAGGTTGCGTCATCTAAGGGTAAGGGAGTTTTTGAAGGAATCCAATGCAAATCTAAGTCGGCAGACCATGGTGCAGAATCTTAATGATAGTTCAAAGCCGTGCCGAGCAGCAGAAACTGTGCCTTTGAGCTGTGCGTCGCTGAAAACCAGCACCTGCACTGTTGTGCATGATCCCAGAGGCAGCCCTGTAGCTTCATTCATTCCAGTATTCAATATCAACGTTACTTCACTCGCATCTACATCGAGTCCTCGTCAACTGAAGATTTCCATGGTATCGGAGTACATTCTCGCCCCATTGTCGCCTTCTCTGCCCATTCCCATGTGCTCTTTTCTTCCATTTCCGATTCAGTAACAATTGTCAATATTCCTATGGGTCTACGGTGCTATCGACCCCCGCTTCTTCACCATGACTTTCCATCGTGAACACATTCAGGGTCAACGGCTAGCACCGTCTTGCGGTTGCACACAACCACGTGGTTGTGTGCAACCACGGTGTTTTCAATTCACAACGATTAACACCTGCTCAGGCGAACATGCCACCAGCAAATTAGCTTCCTGGACAGGGTCCTAGATTGCTTCGTCGACCCGCTGTGACTTACGAACTTATGACAGCAACACACCATACACATTATGGCATTCGATGGACATCGAGGGATTTTACTCCCTGCTCTTCTGCGACCGCGCTACAGGAGGAGCCATGGGACATAACAGTGCAGATTATACCCTCAGGTAGTCGGCAGCATCCTGTCGGTCTGTGGCCCACGGACTGCTTGCCCCCGAGTATTCGCATAAGACACTGCTGCCAGAAAAGCAATTACAAGAAATCACCACAAAAAGGCCAGCAAAATCGGGGCATCCCCGAAACCCCCCCTGTTCCCACGAGCCGAAGTCCATGTGCAGACAAGGAGGTCGCAGAAAGCGCCACTGCCTAACGCTCAACATGCCATAAATATCTGCACTCCTCTACATCAGCTGATACACCCAACCCAGACTGCAGAGGATTAGGCTTCGTGACCCATGCATTGCATTCATCAAAGCACCGGTTCGAAATTGGATGGAGTTATGTGCCAGAAAACGTGCGCATCAGAGAGATCCTTGAAACACTGGAGCTGAACAGGCTCGCATGGCCGCTGCATCAAAGCAACGAGCGATGCGCTGGCATACCGCACAGGCAAACTCAGATTTCGCCCTCGAGGAGGACGAAAGGTCGTCAGAACCTTTCCCCTATCCAAGCCTCAATATTTCAAGCGCTTGCACAGGCAGGCCCCCATTGCCATTTATTGTCCAGATGGACCAGGCTCCCCAGATGCAACGCCAATTGGGTTTGGCTCCACAAGGCACTCTTTCCTCAATCCCACTTTCCCAATGCAACTGACACACTCACGCCATGCTGACAACGTCAGTCCACAGGCTTTGCTGGTGAAGTTGGGGTTGCCTTCCTCCTGTACTTTGGTGAGGCTGGCACCCTATCAGGCTCCATTCCGAAACACTTTGTTAATGATCGTGAGACTTTGCCCACGAACGATTTTCGGGCTCGCAGGTTCTGTTGAGCAGACAGCGCCAGCGTCAGGTTGTTCTGAGCCGCAAGTACACTCGGGTGGTCATCGCCATACGCCCTCTCCCTGATTTGCAGCGACTGTCGGCTCAGGCCCTCTGCCTCTGCTAACTTCCCCTGCTTCCGCTTCACTGACGACAAGCTGTTGAGAGTGATGGCAAAGTTCGGGTGCTTTTCTCCATACACCTTCCTCTTAATGTCCAGGGCTTGAAGGTACATCTCTTCTGCCTCTTTGTAGCATCCTTGGTCTGTCAACACGCCAGCCAAATTGTTGAGTGAAACAGCCACACTTGGGTGACAATCCCCATACGTCTTTGTTGAGATTTCAAGGTCCTTCCTGTGAAGCTCCTCAGCCTCTGCCAGCTTCCCCTGGCTCCTAAGGACACCTGCCAGGTTGTTCATGGAGCAAGCCACACTCGGGTGGCTGTCTCCACATGCTCTGCGCGATATCTCGAGATCCCTTCGATGGAGCATCTCGGCCTCGTGCAGCTTGCCTCGGCTCTCAAGAATTCCAGCCAGGTTGCTCAATGAAACGGCAACGAAAGGGTGGCTCTCCCCAAAAGCCCGTCGCCTGATTTCCAGGGCTCTGCGATGGAGCTCTTCTGCCTCTTTGAATTTTTGCTGATCAGCCAACACCAGCGCAAGGTTGTTTAGCGAAAGGGCCACGTTCGGGTGGTCATCGCCATACGCTTTGATGGATATTTCCAAATCTCTCCTGTGTAAAGATTCAACCTCCTGCAGGTTCCTTTGGGCCTTCCTCATCACCAGAGCAAGATTGTTGAGGGAGACTGCCACATCAGGATGATCTTCGCCAAAAGCTGTCTGTGATATTTCCAATGCTCTCTTGTGCAACGCTTCAGCCTCATCAAAGTTGCCTTGGTCGCCAAGCAGGACCCCAAGGTTGTTCATTGACACAGCTGTCTCAGGGTGGAACTCCCCCAACACCTTCTTCTTTAATCCAAGGGCCTTTCGATGCAGTGTTTCAGCTTCTTTCAGATTCCCTTGTGCACTCAGCACAACTGCCAAATTGCTCATTGAGACAGCCATGCTTGGATGATCTTGGCCAAGAGCCCTCCTCCTGATCTCAAGGACCTTTCTATGGCAGGTCACCGCCTCCTCATAGTTGCCAAGGTTACTCAAAACCATGCCCAGACTGTTCATGGATTCAGCAATATCCAGCTGGCTGTCTCCCATCCGGGTGCGGATGTCCAGGGCCTTTCGGTGCAGGGCTTCAGCCTCCTGAAACCTGCCCTGCGCCTTGATCACACTTGCCATGCAGGACATTAGTGCAACTGCCTCTGGGTGTTCTTCACCGACAAGGCCTTTGTACATATCCAGTGCCCTTGAATAAAAATCTTCAGCAGAATCAAACTTGTTCTTCCTCTCCAAGATCGTCCCCATCGAGTTCAGTGCCATTGCTATTTTGGCATGGTCTTCTCCCTTCTGGTCTTTCATGGCAACCAGGGCACGAAGAAAGAGCTGTTGGGCTGTTGCAAACTGCTCTGCCACCATCAGGAACGCAGCAAGTCTCAACAGCACAAGGACAGGTGCATCTGTGGAAGGGTCCATCATTGCGGAAGCTGCTGGCGATTTTATATCCTCCTGCCCATTCTGGGCTTGTTGTTGCGACGTAGGACAATCTCCTTCATTGGCTTGCCCATTTTCTCCCACTGGATCCCACCAGCTCTCCACAACATGCAAAAACGAGGCAGCCATAGCCTCAGGCGATGCAGCTTGGCCCCAAAACGATAGAAGATTTCGGCGGCCAACCAGCTCCAGCAATGCTGCAAACGTTGGCAGCTGGGACAGGTATTCCACCTGCCTCCGCTTGGCATCGTCCATCAGCTCCCGAAGGTCCTCCGACTCTGTCAACGACCTCAGATGGTTAAGCTGCAGTGCATGCAAGCTCCATGCAGTTCCCTCAAAACTGTGCCTGTCATGCTCACAGTGCAACAGATACATGCTCTCCAGACTGTGCACCACATCTTGCACTGCCTCCAAACTCCCCAAGCCCCACAAATACTGCAACATGGGTACAGGTGCATACAGCCCTTGTGGCAATACAGCCAACATCATATAGCAGCGTCTCTGTTCTGCATCTAGGCCATCAACGACTGCATCCAGACTCTCAAATAGAGCTGGAGGTGCACAGTCTTCCCGTATGGTACTATGAACTGGCAGGGATATGTTGCGAGCAACCCTTCGGCCTTGCCGAGAACCAGCTTTGCTTTGGTTTTTTCGCAGCCAGTTGGCTGCTGCAGCAATGAGTGTCAGAGGATGACCCTTGCACTCTGCCACTAACCCATGGAAGTCATGATCCGCATGATGCGATCCAACGACTTTGAACAGCACTCTGTGAGATTCAGTAGGCGTTAAGGCTTGCAGCTCGAACACTTTGCACGATGGAAAGTGGACATCTAAGAACATGGTCCGCATGGTCATCAGTGCAGTGCAATTGAGCTTTGCAACCACATTCAGAATCTCAGGAAACTGGATGTCATCAAAAACAACCAGGCACTGGTGCCCGGCCATCAGCCTGTTCATGCGAGCCACAAAAATGTCCTCAGAAGTGGCATTCACATACTCATCTCCATCCAGCAAGAGCTCCGCGGGGCTGCCCAGGCAGGCCACTACTCTTCTGTACAGCTCCTTCACCCAGCAAAGTCGGCATGCATCGTGCTTCCCTCGTGCACCCACATGTGCCCACAACAGACAGTCATGAAAGCAATCAAGGACGCCTTGCAAATGGGCCACAGCTGTGGCAGTTGCAGTTTTCCCCTGTCCTGCAGCACCAACGATGGCAACCCTTGTATATGTGCCTTCGGGTGACTTTCTGGTCAGCCGAGCCGCGAGAATCATCTCAGCAACGGCTCTGTGGCAATATTGCTTGGGCATTGACGGCACCCCGCCAACTTCATGCAGCACTGGCACATCAGTAGGGAGCTGACTCCACAGCGGCTCGGGTGCTGGTTCCTCTCTGGCCTCTGTCTCAGGAACCACGTGGTCTTCGAGTGGATCGGATGTTGACGTGGGCAGCAGGTTGTCATCCTCCTGAGGCATGGGGGATTCGCCAGAGCGGCGTATATCCATGAGCGATTGCACACGCTTGAAAGCATGCACTCCCTTGACAGGGTCCAAGTCGGCATCGCAGTGCGTGCAGTCATTTGAAGCCTCCACTGCCTGTGGAGTCTTTGTCACCAGCTCAGACAGGGGTGCTGTCCGCACAGCAGTGCTTGCAGGCATGCTTAGAGTCTTCTTCAGATAACGTTGGGCTGCAGAATCTTCACCTTGCCTCACATCCTGTAGTGCAGAACCTGGACCTCTATATACGCATGCTGGTAACACTTCCCCCAACCGCTCAGACAGGTCAACAGAGAGCTGGTTGAGGGCTTCTGAAGCATTTGTGTCAACCAGAGAATCCAAAACTTCCAGTGCAGCCTCTGCCGCTCCTCTGATGTCATCTTCCAGGAAAAACTCAGTTGCATTGAATGCAGCCACTTGGGGCCCCTCATCAACAGAACCATCAGTGCTGCAGCCATCGGCGGTGCCCTTCCCCTCAGATGGCTCTGCTGCACCATCATCATGTGGAGGAATGGGCCATGCGTTCAGTTTCCCATCAGTCGCCCCATAAGATGACTTTACCATTGCATGTCGCTCTGTTGACTCCAGATACATTGGCACACACCTTTCGCCAGATGTGAGCAGATTGGGAAACACATCCCCTGCTGCAACATCAGGAGCTGTGGATTCCAGCGGTCCATTGAACGGCGTGAAATTGGTGAGCTGTCCATTGCTATATGCCTCACCCTCAGGGATTGGAAACACCTGACTCTCTTGCGCAGCCGGCACACCAGTGAAGACCTCCTCAACTGAAGAACACCCCATGGTAGCCCAATGGCTAGAAGATGAAGGCGCAGGCGCCATGTGCTGATCTCAGTTGGGCAAACTCAAACTCCCCTGTTGCGTTGTCCTCCAAATGCAGGCCACAGCTGCTACCCTCAGCTAAAGCTGTGGGTTTGCCATTATCTCCAGAGTTCAAGGCAGGATTCCGTGCCCTGGCAAACCCAACACAACCATGGGCATTAGATATGGAATCCCAATAGAATGCTCAGCAGCCTGTGCTCCAGGCATGAACAGTACTGATGCTTTGAACAGCAATGGCTGTTTGTCACCCATTTGTTCGTAACCGAGCAGATACTATTCCTTCCTCTTACTCCAGAAGATGGTATCTAAGAGCGCCAATTCCCAGCCATGATACAGCACCACAGTTGTTTCCATTGCAAGATGCTGCTGGTTCCAACAAGCTCAACAAGCTCACTTCGGTTCCAACAGTAGACAAATATACAGCATCAAGCTCCGAGAAGAAAGCAGCCAATATTTAAAACGGTAAATATTGTTATTGTCAAACAGCCAGCCCACCCAAACAGATGTTCACCACTGGCCGCCTTCCAACAGTATGCTACCTTCTGACACCACCCAGCAGCAATTCCTTGCTCCAGAGAGCCTGCAGTGACCACAATCGAAACTTCATTCCTTCACATTATTTAAGCCCTATTGCAGTGCTTTCGACAAGGTCGCCTGGTGCTAAGAAACCAACAGGGCACACACATTTTTCCTGTAAATGTCACAAAGATTTGCACATCAGCTGTTGTGTAGGCAACCACTATGCACGCCCAGCTGACTGATTTGCCCAAGGATAGCATGAGGTCACACAGGGGGTATAATTACGAGTAAGCCATCTCTCGCTTCATGTACAGGACACAACACCATCGTCGTCCCAATTGCTACCCAGTACACTGGACCAGCTTTCGCTTAAGGGTGTGTGGCAGCGTGAAATCGTTCTATAGAAGTCGATAACCAAAGCCAGGCAGGCAACCAGTTAACTGTCACAGCAACGTTGGGACAGTCTGTACAGCCACTTTCTTCGTAAACACATCGTTTCCGCGCAAAGAAGCTGCACGGGGCGCCGACGTCGTTTACAATCGTCGATGGAGGACAAAAAGCCGGCGTGGTCGGCAGGGTGCACACCAGTGTAGATCAATGGCTACGATTGTGCGCTGCCGTTTGGGAGCGCTTCTGTGTTGTCGATAACGCCTGAGCCTTCCCCGAACCTGCCAGTCGACTGATCAGGTGGTTGAAACAAGTTCGTTTCCACAGCAAGGAGCTCACTCGACACCCCTTCAAAAGCCAAGGTTACGAGGCAGAGGTCATGGACCACATTTGGCCAACAAAGGCTGAATGCTGGCATTTGCGCAGCTGACACTGGATTGGGCCGCGAGGGGCACTTCCCTTGCAGTCGCCCGCAGCGTCGATACCGCTGCGCCAGCCACTTACGAGCTCAAATTGAAAGGCCAATGACCATTTCAACACATTGCACTGTTCAATGCATTGAAATGACCATTGGCCATCACAGGGCGATTTTCTTGGTCGCGTTGCGATTCCGACCAGGTCCTGTTCGTCGCTTCCGCAGCCGTGGGAGACGACAAGCAAGCGCACTCTGGATCCAGGAGGGCTCCGGATTGAGACCGGGCAATTTGCGTGATGCCGGAATGCGCGAGCGTAGCTCCCCAAAATTTGCTAAACGTGAGTCGTTCACTGGACGACGTTAAATGCGCCTGTACGGCCCAGCGATTCCCTTGAGCGCCAATTGGTTGGTGCCACTCCTCTCCCGTGTGGCAGCCGAGCGGATAGACGGGACCCGTGCCCGGCGGCAGCGCCGTCGACGCGCAAACACCGCCGTGGGTCCAGCGGTCTCGCCCAGCGCATCGCTTCCGCCTCCACCGAGGGGTCCTCGCGATCGAACGGCTTCAGTGCGCGGGTGGCGCCACCCCTGCTGCCGAACGCTGCCTTCCAAGGGGATGCGAATATGCGCACGAACAACTCCTTGACCCAGATTGCGCCCCAACGCGCCTGCGAGTGCCGTTCCATACTTTTACAGGACCATAGCGCGCTCGCGAACCGGGACGAGGGGCTGCAGGAGAGCACAATCGGAACGCGGACGGAGCGCGAGTTGCAGCAAGTCCACAGCCAAGCCCATCAATACGTCGCGAGATCCCAAGTGCGAGAGCCCTGGATAGCTCCAATGAAGGCGAACGCACGCCGTTAAGGCCAGGCCCCTAGCCGCCGCCACCTCTACCACCGAATGAAAAGGACGAAAGACGCCGACAGAATGCAGTCCCGGCGGCCTTCGTCGCGGGACGCGTGGCCGCGCGAACGCACGTCTACCTCGCGGCGATTGCTGCGCCCATTGCCTGACCACCACGTTCTGGGATAGAAAGACAAGACGCTCCGCGTGCGATGCGCCGGTCCGTGCGAAAGACGACGACGCAGCGCCCACGGCGCACGGGCGCCAAGATGGGGTCGCAGAGCGAAGAGAAACTCACCGGTCCAGGACGGGCAAGGCACCGCGCGCGGCCCTCACGGCAGCAAGCGCCGTCGGCTGGAAGAGCGCCCTCTGCCCTGGCCCGCCCGCGGCTGCTCCAGAAGCACAGGCAGCAGTTCTTGTCGCCTTGGTGCTGGCCAGCGTGGCTGGCAGCCCCGGATATCGCCCACAATTTCGCATGCACGGTCTGCGCCTGTCGTTGGGCCTTTTTGCATGTTGACACGGACACGTCAACTCCACCAACGGACAAACCCCGCCAGGGGAAGGCAGAGGGAGCGCGTTTGTTGATTTTCCGTTGGCCGAGGAGGCCTGTTGGTTGTAGACAATGGCGCCACCAACACCACCAACTCCATTGGGTAATGCCCTTTTCAGCGTTAAAGCGCGAGTAAAACAATTAGTTGTGAAGCAGCTCCTGCACACAGTGATCTCTGACTGGGACACCCTGACTGCATCCTTCAACAGGGCAGGGCTCCCAGCAGGGCGACGCCAGCAGGAATTTGAATTCGCCTCTTGAGGCTCCTTAGCAACGCAGTTGTCGAGCCAACCACAGCGCTAAAGTCTCAGGCAGCTTGGTCGGAAAATTCTGCAGCATGCTTTGGGACGTGGCTCGCAGGACGAGGTTGCCTGTTGCTTTCCCTTTTCTGTCTGGCGGGCTCACTTTGCCCCACTGGCGCAATGAGCATATGTTCGCGCAGCTGCATAATGACCACCGTTTCACTGGGTGAGTCACTTATGATTCAGCTGGCGAGGGACTCACGTCTGACACGCATGCTGACTGTGTGGGATGGCCCGAGTATGCCACCACCGGCTAGAAAGAGAAAAAAGCGAAAACAAAAACAAAAACTGGTGAAGGGCTTGCATTTTTGGTAATATAGCAAGTTGGTCATGAAAGTTGAGAGGAGTCCTGCCTCAAGGGGCGCTTGGTGACGACTGAGCGACACCCTACGCTGCAAGAGTATTTCAGTAGAAGCTGCCTCACCAGTATTGACCGCGGCTCTCAATATCTGGTGGGGCTATGTGTCCTGAGTAAGAATACCATCCAGTTTGGGTGTGTGTCCAGCCTCAAAGCCAATTGCGCAAGGCTAAGAGGTTGCTGGCCTGAAAAAGGCTAAAAGAGAACCATGCACGACCAAAATCTTGGGCCCACACCTGATGACTCTTTCCAAGGTGGACTACCCCTTGATAAGGCTGCATGTGTTCACTTATTCATCAGTCACCCACAGCTGGAATATTGCTGTGGAGAAAACGAATGTGCTGGTTGTGCTGCTGGCCGTCCCATCTCATCACTTCGGTCCAGATTCGATCTCATATGCTGATGTCTCTCTCCAGCTATGGGTAGGATCTGAATTAACGGTCACGGAGCTGTATTCTGGGCCGTGTTGCTCAGTAGTTTGGACCCCAGAAAACATGCTGGGATGTATCTTTCCTCAGCATGGGGCTGTTTTGGTGTTTTGCCCAGCCAGCCTGACCGTCAGTGGGCCCAAGCGCTGGGTTTATTATGGTGATCTGAATGTCGCTGAAAAAGTGACAAGACCAGAAAAATGTGGGAGAATCACTGAACAAGTGACAAGGAAAAAGAAAGACTCCTGAACAAGGAGTTTTGGATCGATCAGAGTGCCCATGATTGGGTTGGCTGTGCATGAGAGGGTGTCCTAGTGGCTGATGATCCTTTCCAGCCATGGGGCCACTCAAATGTGTATTTGTGGGGCTGTGCCCCCAGCCGCTCGATTTGCAGGCATGTGCCTCAAGGGACATGCTGGGATGTCTCTTTCCCCAGCATGGCACTGAGCTCATGCTATTTTCCAGCTCGTGCATCCTTTTGGTGTGCATGACGTGATGCAAAGTGTACTTGCCACTGGAGAAGTGGCTGGAGTTTACTTGCCACTGGAAAAGTGGCGCTGTCATTGGAAAAGGACAGCTTTGTTTACTGAATATCACTGAATAAGTGGTAGTAACTGGCTGCCACTGAAAAAGTGGTACAGCTGATGAGATTGGACACGTTTGTTTGATGCTTACCTCTGCAATAGTGGTAGTACGCAGCTGCCACTGTAAAAGTGGTGCTGCCGTGGAAATTGGAATAATATGTTGAGTATTTACCACTGAAAAAGTGGTATCGCTCCTGTATAAGGAACTGGAAGATCATGCAGAACTGCAGAATCAGTTTCTGAATAAGAAACTGAAGTTCAGAGTCCGTTTTGAGGAAACATGCTGAAAATGCATGTTTGGAGTGTGAGTACAACAAGTGCACGACTGAATCCCTGAAAAAGGGATCTGTGCACTTACTCAACAGTTTCTGAAAAAGGAGCTGTGAGGTTATTCAGAACTGTAGAATCAGTTTCTGAACAAGAAACTGAAGTTCAGAATGTGGTTAAGGGAACAAACTGAAGAAGCATATTTTGTTCCGGATTGTCACCGGTGCACGACTGAATCCCTGCAAATGGAATGTGTGCAATCATCAAACAGCTCCTGAAAAAGGAGCTGTGGGATTGTGGGAAGGTGTAGGGCAGTTTCTGGAGAAGAAACTGCATTTTCTGAGCTGATT